CCGCTTTCCCGCGGGGTGCCCGCCGCCTCCTCCTCCTCTTCTTCTTCTTCTTCCTCCTCTTTCCTCCTCCTCCTCCTCCTCCTGCCGCCGCCGCGCCCGGCCATGTCGATGCTGCCGTCGTTCGGGTTCACGCAGGAGCAGGTCGCCTGCGTCTGCGAGGTGCTGCAGCAAGGGGGGAACCTGGAGAGGCTGGGCCGGTTCCTCTGGTCGCTGCCCGCCTGCGACCACCTGCACAAGAACGAGAGCGTCCTGAAGGCCAAGGCGGTGGTGGCCTTCCACCGCGGCAACTTCCGCGAGCTCTACAAGATCCTGGAGAGCCACCAGTTCTCCCCCCACAACCACCCCAAGCTGCAGCAGCTCTGGCTGAAGGCTCACTACGTGGAAGCCGAGAAGCTGCGGGGCAGACCCTTGGGCGCCGTCGGCAAGTACCGCGTCCGCCGAAAATTCCCTTTGCCCCGCACCATCTGGGACGGCGAGGAAACCAGCTACTGCTTCAAGGAGAAGTCCCGGGGCGTGCTGCGGGAATGGTACGCCCACAACCCCTACCCGTCCCCCCGGGAGAAGCGGGAGTTGGCAGAAGCCACCGGGCTCACCACCACCCAGGTCAGCAACTGGTTCAAGAACCGGAGGCAGCGGGACCGAGCGGCGGAGGCGAAGGAAAGGTACTTGCCCCCCGATACCCTCCATCCCCATCCCTTCCGTCCCAGATCCCTTCCGTCCCAGATCCCTTCCGTCCCAGATCCCTTCAGTCCCCGATCCCCCCCAGTCCCGATCCCCCCCGTCCCCTCCTTTTCTCCCGGAGCCGGAGCTCCGGCGGCGCCCGGGGAGGGGGGAGCAGCGAAAATACCTCGCTTCCTCCAACCGCAATTTATTTTTTTCCCTGGACCGCGTTGCGTTTTCCCGTCCCGCGGAAACCCCACGGAGTATTCCACCCGAGACCCACCGGGCTCCGCTCCGAGCCCACCTGCCCGGGGGAAGCCCCTCGCCGGCCTCCCCGGGCCCCTCCGCCGCCTTTGTTCGCCCTCCCGAGCAAACCGGTAGCGACGCCGTCCCGAAGCCTCTGCCATACCGGGCTGGGGACTGCCGGGGATGGGGCAGGGGGGCTCCGAGGTCCGGAGGAGGAGGGAGTGGCGGCCCCGGGACGGAGGGAGCGGAGGGGGAGCGGGCCGGGGACGCGCCGGCGGGGCCGCGATGGCCTCGGTGCGCGGCGGTGGCCGGGCCTGGCGGAGGAGCCGCCGGCCGGGGAGGGCATCGCTCCGCTTTTTGTCTGCTCCAGCGACCCCCTCATCGAGCCCTCCCAGTGAAAATCCCGCACCCTGCCCGTCCCCGGGCCGCGCTCTCATTTTAAATTAAAAAAAAAAAAAAAGAGAAAAATCGCTCCTCCAAATACCCCCCTCCTTCAGCTTCACCTCCTCGCCTTAAATTATCGGCCTGTGCGGTACACACTTATTTATAGAAGGGTAAAAAGAAATGGGGACGATCTGTTATGAAAATATTAGGGCTTTTTTTTTTTCTTCGCTTTTTGGTTTTTTTTTTCCCCGCGGGGAGAGGCCTCTGCTCCCCGGCTGAGGAGTTTCGGGGGGTACCAGCCCATCCCCGGCGACTCCCGCCCGCCCTAACATCCCCCTTGTGTTGTTTTCTTGCCTTTCTCTCAGGGAGAACACGGAAAACAACAACGCGGCCACCAACAAACCCAACCAACTCTCGCCTCTGGATGGGAGCAAACCCCTCATGTCCAGCTCCGAGGAAGAATTCTCTCCTCCCCAAAGCCCGGATCAGAACTCAGTCTTGCTCCTGCAGGGGAACCTCAGCCACGCCAGGAGCTCCGGCTACTCCCTGGGCAGTTTGGCCGCATCCCAGCCCCCGCACAACCTCCCGGGCCACCAGCTCCAGGACTCGCTGCTGGGACCCCTCACGTCCAGCCTGGTGGATCTGGGATCCTAAAGGCCGGCGGCGGGTGGCCGGAGGAACGGGAGAGGAAGTTCTGCTCGGGGACAGAAGCCCTGGGTTGTACATAGAGGACAGCACCCGGTTTTACAGCTCATCCCCCCCCCACCCCCCGATTCTCGACGGGGACTCTCGGTTCTTTCACACAACTCCACGTCGGCTCCTGGTCCAGTTCCCTCCCGGCATCTCCCACTACCACCATGATTTTATTTTATTTTATTTTTTCTTCACGTAGCCAAAAAGCCACGAAGAGGCAGAAAACCCTCAGCCCTTCGAGTTCAAACGAGCTGGTCCCAGTGGGAATTACAACAAAAAAAAAAAAAAAAAAAAGGGGGGGGGAAAAAATAAAAAAAAAAAATCACTATTTCCTATTTAGAGTACTTAGAGTCCCTGCTCCGTCTCCAGTATTTGTTACCGAAAATCGCATGTGCTTTCAGGTTTCTTTTCTATTGTACCTAAACCAGTCTAAATTAAACAACGCTAATGGCAGAACACCCGGGTTGAGCTTTTTTTTTTGCCCGCCTCCCTCCGCCCGCCCCTGTCCCCCCGTCCCCGGGCGGGCTGCCCTGGGGGCTGCGAGGGGGGACACCCGG